TCCATTGTGAACTTTTATCACGGTAGTCTGCAGGTCTCAGTTGAAGACGAAGGTGTCCAACTTTGGTCTAGATATAGGTCTTCCTCTTGACGGGCCACATAAAGACTATATTGTCTATCTGCACAGCACAGAAGTATTGCAGCGTCTACACGACGCTCAGTTTTTAAGAAAAACGGAACATGGAATTTGAAACAAAATACTGTTTGCACAAATTGCGATATTTGGGAATAAAGGTAAATGCAAAGTTGACATTTAGGAATCCAGCAAAATGTGTCAACTAAACAAGACTCGACTTTGTCTAGCTATCGCTTCAATGCCAGTGAACTCCCTTTTTAGGAAAAAAAAATCATAAAGACAAGCAAAAAACCTTTTTTGCTCAGTTTTTATCATATACAGTTCTTTAAAATGAGAAAAAAAGTTTGAAATTTATCTGTGAGATAATAGAAGATTATTGTTAGTGACCATAAACCACGGGACGTAATGTAATCAGCTCCAAGATTTTGTGAATATTCTACTCACATACAAACCTATATTTCTCTTTTCACTAATTTATTTATAATTCAGAATGTAGTAGCTGTACTAAACACTGCTCACCTGAATTTCCAAAAATCGCTTATTAGGCTGTTGAGCCTGATGTGTTCTTTGGAATAAACATTTCCTCGCATATTGCCTAGCCATACGTCAAAGCATTCATCAGCAAAGACAAAGCCTAAACGTTGAAATCAAAAAAATTATTCTGATTTTGCACAGCAAATTAAAATAAGTTCGTATGCTCTACCAGCAGATTGATGTGGCAAATTGAGCACCCAATGTGCACTGGAGCAAAGTAGACCAGATTGCAGAAAAATTACAGGTCGATTTGCTGTCAGCTGTCTACAATCTATAATTTTAAATGCCATTTTGAAATTATGTCCAATGCTTGTATAAAAATGTAGTTTAATAAGCAATATGCAACCATTCATACTTTTGCCATACGGTATCCGATGCAAGGTGAGTATATAGCCATCCATAGTCAATACTTTGTGAACTTCTACTGG